ACCTCCTCCAAGCCAGCATCCAAAACGGCCACCACCTACATTAAGAAAAACCACACAGCAAAACCCAATCCTTTCGCAAAATCGACGCACCAGCCAAATCACCGTCAAGGCCGTAGGTTCTCCACGTTTCCGGCTCAATCGCCTCCATCGTGAAGCAAGAACGCGTCAGTGCCGCTGCCAACATCTCAGATCTGCAAATCCAAAAGCCTAGAACAGAAATCGCCACTACAACCATCGTGGCAGCCTCCACATTCTCGCGCCTCCATGTTTTCAGCAAGAACGACAGCGTTGGAAGCCTCTCCCCTTTTCCTCATGGCGGCGCAAGCGCAGGGGCAAGCTCTTTCCCCAATCTGAAACCTAATTTGGGAGAAATGGGGAATTCCACGTGGCAAGCTCTCATTGGCCGCGCCCTTCCTCGGTCAAAGCCGGTCAACACTGCTTAAGTCTGGTCAAAGCTGGTCAACAGGGGTTTTGGTGCAATTTTGGAAATTCAGAAGGGGCTAAAGTGCAGATAGAAGAAATTTCAGGGCATTTGTGCAATTTTGGAAAATCAGAAAAGCTAAAAGATAAAATTCAGTTGTTGAATTAATGTAATTTGGGAATATCAACAGAAAATATCTTCCAAATAATGTTATAATTATCTAAATCTTTTAGTTATTTAAAAGATACAAGATAAAAGATTTTGTCAACTGAATATTCAGAGTCCAAGCCCAATCAAGCCCTCTATAAAGAGACCCAGGGGGGACTTCACTTCAATTAATTCATTCTCTCATACTCCTCTCACATTTCTTTCATCTTGTATTCAACTCCATTCATGGAGAGCTAAGCATCTAGGACTATTCTGCTGTAATTCCATGATGGATTCTGAGGTTACGTTAAGTTAAATGCAATTGTTTATTTTGATTATTGATTTAAGTTGTTCTCTCTGTATGTCTTTCATCTCTCTGTCTTGTTAAAAGTAAAGATTTTTGCATCATAATGTGTTTGAATCTACATGCATATTGATTATATGAGTTCTAGGGTTTCTAGGTTTAATTAAGAATCTACTTTGATTTAATTTAGGAACTTTTATATGATTAGATGGTTTTTACTATCAATTGAGAATGTACTTTGGTTGGTAGTAATAATTTCAACTATAATTAATTGAGAATTTAATTTGATTGATTAACTTTTAACTTGGTTAGGAGATTTAAGAATAGACATGATTAAACACAATAGAATTTGATTGAGAATGTACTTTGGTTGAATTTATTGTGAATAATCTAGAAAGGTTTTGCATTTGATTGAGAATTTACTTTGGTTAAATGCACGATCGCCCTCAAATTAATTAAGAATGTACTTTAATTAATTTGAAACTTAAACAATAATTAATTGAACAATTATTCGTGAATAACCGATGATGAATCTATCTTGGAAAAGCATTGGAATTAGCCTATTTAATCATAACTGTTTTTAAGTTTCTTATTTATTCTTTAAACATTCTTCAATCATTACTTTTATTCATAAGCATTGCATAACATTCATAAGAGTCAGATATTCGAAAGCAATTTCGTGTTCGTAGGGAGACGACTCAGGGTTACTTTAGCCCTATCTACTTTCTTTGATACTACTTGGCAATACTGAAGTTGCCTTGAAAAGTAGTATTAATTTGATAGCTTCAACGACAGCGTATCACTTGGCAAGATTTTTGAATTGGGCTAAATTTTGATATAAGAGATAGGATCGAACTACTTCCTTGTAGAGATTTGAATGAACTTGTTCAAATGTGAAAAATTGAATCTCGTTGTGATACCACATCCAAGACCATACAAACTTTATTGTCTTAATGAAGATGGGGATATAACAGTCAAGAATTAAGTGAAATTGACCATTTCAATATGGAAATTCAAAGATGAAGTTTTGTGTGATGTAGTTTCCATGGAAGCTTGTCATGTGCTATTGGGGAAACCATGGCAATTTGACCATACAACCCTTCATCATGGTTTCACCAATGCCATAACTGTGCACCACCATGACAAGAAAATTGTGCTTCACCCTTTGTCCCCTTCACAAGTGGCTAAGGATCAAGCACAAATGAGGCTCAACAAGGAGCGTGAAATAAAAGAAAAAAAAATCCTAAATCAAAAAAAGACAAGAGTTGTCCTTAAGGATGAAAAGGAGGTGTGGGAGAGTGGTGTTCCCTCCCATAAGGTCACTCAACATGAAGTTCTTTTGAATAAAAAAACTTTACAAATCTTCTTCATGTAGAGCAAGCTTCTTACCTCCTCATGTGTCAAGGAACAGTCACATTCACTTCTAGTGAATCCAAGACTTCTACTCTATCTCCTCATATTAGAAAGCTTTTAAAAGAATTTGATGATGTATTTCCCAAGGAAGGCCCCATTGGACTTCCACCTTTGAGAGAAATAGAGCATCAAATTGGTTTTGTACCTAGGGCAACTCTTCTTAATAAGCCTGCCTATAGGACAAATGTTAGCATAAAGAGGAAGTTTAGAAGTTTCGATGATGCCCAAAATTTAGTCTCAAGTGTTCAAGTTGCAAGAAGACCTTCATGAAGACTTGTTTTACATTAAAACTTTTTTAATTCAGTAGTTTTATTTATAGGGTGTTATTTATCCTTGATTACATGTATTGTGTGTTTAAAAGTTTTCTAAAAACTCATTTTGCCTTGGAATAATCGATTATCAACTTTTGATAATTGATTATCCATAATTGATTATGACTTACCATAATCACTTATGACATGCAATTATAGAGTTTTCAAGCATGTTTTTTACCTGTTGTGCATACATTAAATGCATAATTGATTACCTCATTTAGATAATCGATTATCACGCGTTAAATAGCTAACAACAAATTTTTGGAGGTGTCATTGAGTGAGGTCTTTATAAAGATGTTTTGAACTCTCATTCTAACACACACAACTGAACTTGAAAAGTAAAGTGTGATCTAGGGTTTGTGTAACCCTTGTGTTGTGGCTTTGAGAACTTGGTGTTGGCATAGAGCGAGACCTTTCATTGGAAGTGTGATTGAGTGTTATTGTTGTTGTTGCTGAGTGAAACCTGTCATCCTTTGTGAATATTTAAAGGAAGTGTTCATCCTTTGTGAAGCATTTGAAGGAGGTGTTCATCCCTTATGGTTTTCAGGAGAAGTGAGTATCATCTCTTTGGGGTAACAAGAGAGGTGTTTTTGAATCCTTAAACTTTTCTTTTTGTGTGATTGTAATAGTTTATTGGTTTTTTGATAGTGGATAATTAATCTCTATTTGGGATTAGCAATTGGACATAGGATCCTTGGGATCTGAACTAGTATAAAATTTCTTATGCAAATATTTCTTTCCTTATACTCTTTATTGTTGTTGATATTATTTGTTAAGTAAATTTTATAAAGTGAGAAGACAAATTTTTTTCAAAGCATAAGAAATCAATTCACCCCGTCATCGTGATTTTTTTCCAAGCACACTAACCATTTTGTTGCATCGCTCTAACAACAAATCCCCAAGAGACAAAGGAGATAGAGTTACAAGTATAAGACTTGCTGGACAAGGGTTGGGTTCAAAAAAGCTTAAGCCCTTGTGTTGTGCTTGTGTTGTTGGTGCCCAAAAAGATTGGAAAATGACGCATGTGATGTGATTGTAGGGCCATCAACAACATCACAATAAAGTATAGGCATCTCATCCCTAGACTTGATGATATGTTATATGAATTGCATGGAGCCCAAATATTTTCCAAAATTCATCTTAAAAGTGGTTATCACCAAATAAGAATAAAAGAAGGTGATAAGTGGAAAACTACTTTTAAGACTAAATTTGCTCTATATGAATGGCTAGTAAGGCCTTTTGGTCATACTAATGCTCCAAGCACTTTCATGAGACTTATGAATCATGTCTTAAGGGATTGCATTGGGAAATTTGTTGTAGTTTATTTTGATGACATCTTGGTGTATAGTCAAAGTTTGTAAGAAGATGATAAGCATTTGAGGGTTGTCCTATCAATTCTTAGGGTCAATCAATTATTTGCAAACATTGATAAATGCACCTTTTGTGTAGATAGTGTCATCTTTCTTGGTTTTGCTGTCAATAAAAATTGGGTTTATATTGACCCTGAAAAAATAAAGGTAATCCAAGATTAAGAATAATATAGATCAATACCAAACAACCAAAGTAAATAAGCCAACACATGGAATTTAAACTGACGCTCAACAAACTCTGACGCTCAACAAACTCTAACGCTCAACAAACTCTGACGCTCAATGTCATTCTTCTCATAAAATTCCTCACTCAATGACACCATTGTATATCTCAATGACACCATTGTATAGCTCAGTGACACCATTTTATCGCTCTACGACTTGGACTTAAATTGGTTCCACACATACAATAAAAAAAATGACGCTCAACGTTGTCTTGCCACAACTGAGTGTTAGACCATTAAAAAAAATGGTCGCTTAGTGAAAAAGTGGACACTCAGCAGCATAAAGCAAAATTGCTTCCAGACTTGTAATATCAAGCCAATGCTCATTGTCACATCTGTCCTGCTCAGTGCCATATCAGAAAACAGCACATTTAATCTTCTAATATAGGGAATCATGATAATCAAAGCAGGAACTAAATTTATATGTTGGTTATTATTCAAATTTGAATTTTTAAACTTAATTTGCTATTATAATTGTAATACATATAATTTTTACACTATTAAAATATTTTTAGTTTACTTGATAGTTTATTTATTTTAAATAATGTAATTATACTTTTTTATTATTATTTAGTATTAAATAAAAAATATATACAAGTTTTTAATATTATATTTGTTATGTTCTTTTAATTTTTATTTTTTTATAAAAAACTATTTAATAAATATTTAGACATATTATCGGATAAAGAAAAAGATGTGAGATGTCACGTTTTGCTGATAAATAAAAAAAAAAGAAAAAAAAAAACAATGTTACGTTAGTTTCGAATTCAAATTCAAAAGTTCACGCTCCTCTCTCTCTCCCCCCCGACCCTCTCTCCCCCCCCCGACCCTCTCTCTCTCAGAGACCAAATCTACCAATTCCTTCAATTTCTCTAATCAAAACCTCCAATTCCCAAGCCTCACATGGCTTCTGTAAGTAAAGCCTTTTCTCCTCCCACTCAAATATTTATTTCATTTTCTCGCAGTCCATGCAGCTTTTCCTCTAAATCACTTTGTTTTCCCTTGCAGAAAAGGGTGCGCCCCGAAGATGCTTCTCTGGACAAGCGTCGCCGGGGCATCGGAGCTGAGAAAATGGAGCGACAGGGCGGTCCGACTGCTGCTGGGAGGCCTAGAACGCCGTTTTCCGTTGTCACAAATCGCTCCGACCTTAACACGACGAGCGATGTCAGCGAGGCAGTTGACTTCACGAAGGAGGAGGTGGAGGCTTTGCTGAACGAAAAGAAAAAGGGAAATACATATGATAGTAAGGTTTGGTTTGTGATGTTCTTGATTTAATCAATTAGTCTATATTTTTTCTTCTTTTTGTTCTTGATTGTTTTGTGGTTTGTTTGGCAGAAAAAGATGGAGCAAATGACGGATCTTATTAAGCGACTTAAGGCCTGCGTTCGCTGGTATAAAAGGATAGAAGAAGGGTATGTTCAAGAAAAGGAAAAGCTTCAGTCTGAGCTAGAGGCTTCTGAGAAGAAGTGCAGTGATACTGGTGTGTTTTATCTCTACGGAGATTTTTGAGAATAAGTTGAGTTGATATGCTGATATACTATTGAAAATTTCTTAATACTGTGTTTAGAAGCATGGTAGCTACTATCTGTCTTGGGTGGGAGAACGAATTCGTATATTTTTGTATTGTTTACTGTTTGGCTAGAAGTAGGTAGGGATTTAGGTGAATTATAGTTTACACATAAATAGTGACATTCATTCTTCAATATACAGTGAAATAGTTATCGGAGTTATTGTAATTATTTGGTGATGTATTTAGCTTGTTGAGGGTTTATATATTTTGTTTTAATTTATTCTATTTTAAAGACCTGTTTCTTTTTTTTTTTTTTTAAATTTCTATGATCGAGTCTATAGTGCCTTCATGCCCAGATAGAATTTATCTTTGGTTATCAGAAAATTCATACAATTCTGTTTTCTCAGTGACTGAGATGAAGAATAAGATTGATGAGTTGAAGGAAGCTCTTTCTGATTCGAGGAAGACAATTTCTTGTCTAGAAGAGAGAATTGTGAAGGAAGAATCAGATAAATTGGTAACGCTGTCTGCCGTCGTTGTGTGGAGTATGTCAAGAGAATTTACTTTATTTCCCAATGACCTCTTTTTTTGTGGCTTCAAATCTAGGAAGCAATTAATTCTTATGGTAAAGAAAAGGAAGCCAGAACTGAGGCTGAGAAAGTTCGGGATGAGAAGTCAGCTGAGCTTGAGAAAGTTCGGGATGAGAAATCAGTTGCTGAGAAGAAGGTGATTCAATGCTATATTCTGTATAAGATTGTTATTTGTAAAATATTGGACTACTGAACTTTACCCCCGAGTAATACAAAATCGATGTCCTCTTGGGTAAATTCTGCACTAAAAAGATGTTCATGTTTTCTGCTATTTGAATCCTACAGATTCCCTCGTGATCTGTTCCTTTTGAAACCATTGAGTTTTGCAGGCCATTTCAAACGAAGATTTGTACAAGCGATCACAGGAGTATAATATGAGCTTGCAGCAGTACAATAGTCGTCTTCAGTTTGATCTTGAAACAGTTAATGAGGCCCTTAAACGGCTTGAAACTGAGAAAGCATCCATTGTTGAGAGCCTTAGTAATTTAAGAGGCCACAATAAGGCATTGCAGGATCAGTTGGTATCTCTTAAGGTTAGTTGTATCTGTATTTTCTCTATAGTTCCACCTTTTGTATGAATTTTTGTCACTAATTTTAATAAATATTTGAAATCAAATGAATTATGTGAATATTGTGATAATTATTTTGCTACATTAAATGCGAAATGGAAGTGATTAACTGGCACTGATAGCTTACCCTTATACTTCTTAAAATCTCATAAGTAAACTTGTTGTAAAGAACCTATTGCATTTTACTGGTACTATTACTATTAGCATTACCTATCTGTTGTCATTGATGGTGGTATATTGATAGCTGCTCTTCTTTTTGTGTTTGTCGCCTCTGTTCTTAAATTTTTTTTAATCTGTTTTTCAGGTTTCACAGGACGAGACTATAAAGCAGAAAGAAATTTTAGTAAATGAGCTCAAATGTCTTCGTGAGGAGTTAAAGCAACTTAGAGATGACCGTGACCGTCAGTTGGAGCAAGTAAATGCTCTAACTAGAGAAATAGCGAGGCACAAAGAATATACTGGGAAAACATGTACTCAATTGGATGCATTGATGATTAAAACAAATACTCTTGAGGTTTGTTGTTTTGTTTTGTTCACTTTTATATATTCTTTTATTTCATTAATAGTGCACTTCTGTGTCTAGTGCATTTATGTTATGATGGGTTTCTTTATAGGAAACTTGTTCATCTCAAAAGGATCAAATACATATACTGCAGCAGCAATTGTTTGCTGAAAGAGAGAAGTTAAAGGTAATGTAGTTGGTTTTTATGCTTTGCGTAAAAAAGTTGCTTAGCATATAATTTTATTGCAGTGTGTGTTAGAAATATTATATCTTTTATCTTTCAGTTAGTTTGTTATTATTTCTTATTTGTATTTTGGGCTTAGCCCATATTTCTTCTATTATAAATAGAGAAC